CGGGAGCTCCAACAAATGTATACAATGGCACAGAAGGGCTAAGCAATCTTGATTGTGTTGGCCTTCCAGCTTCCCCTATTATGAGCAGTGCTGCAAAGGGCAAATTATGGGGCTCATCAAGTTGCCCAACTCTATGGCCATATGTTGGGAGTGCTTTCATTGTGTATTCCTGCATGGCAGCAGGTTAGATTAAGACGGCCTCTTGTGGTCTCTTTCAACTCCATGCTTCGATATGTCAGAATAGGTAAGTAGCTTCCTAAAGATATGATTCTGACAAGCAGCCACATCTACAGCACTTTAGAGCATTCCAAATCTGATTTGTCAATAATCTTCACTATAAGCCCAAATGTATTGTTAGCTCTATAGTAAGTGGGATGGAGGGGGTGTACCATGCGCTCTAAAATAGGAATTATGTCCTCCCTAATGAATTTTTCTTCCTTCTCTAGACTTGTAGCATCAAAGTAATTTTAGATGTCAGTTGAGTATTTAGAAATCAACATTGGCAATTATTATTTCTATTTCAATCTATACCAATCACCAGGAATTCAAAACATTCAAGAATTGGAATACAGAAATATCTAAATTTTTATGAGCAGGGAAGAAATCCTGTATAAAATTTGTTAACCCAATAGATGACAGAAAGAGAGGGGGCCTCGGACTCCCAGACTTACAACTATACCACGAGGCATGCAGATTGTTGTGGATAAGAGAATGGTCCAAACGTAGCAGCGTTAAAGAAGGATGTGATCTCTGCAGCACTGGAAGACATACATATGGTATGAGAAGAGGAAAATTGAGAAAGGTTTCAGCAACCATTTCACAAGATCTTCTTCGATAAAGATCTGGGAGAAATATAAATCCAAATTTTATCAAAAGACCCCCCCCCCCCTTTTGGGTATCCCCCTTGAAGTGATCCAGAGAAGAGAGCTAGGGTGGGAAAAGTGGCCCAGATACAAGGAGATCTTGAAACAAAATAACTGCTACATACTGAAAACCCAGGAAGAAATCAGAAAATTATATGGAAACCTTTCATGGTTCCAATACAGACAGCTGAATGAAGCCTTTAATAAGGACAAGAAACTAGGATTCAAGGAAGGAGACAAATTATGGGATAAGATAATGATTATAGGAAAGAAAGTGATCACCAAAATATATAAAGCTCTCTTAACATGGTCAACCGAGAAGGACCAAATAAAAGACTGTATGAACAAGTGGGCAGCAAATATTGGACATAATGTAAGATATACAGATTGGAGAAAAATATGGAATGACAAAATAAAATACACAAATTCGTACGATCTACGTGAAAACTCGATTAAGATGATGTATCAGTGGTACATCACACCAAACAAATTGTCAAAATGTTATAAGACTTTATCTGACAAATGCTGGAAGTGCAAAACAAATATAAGAATATTCTTCCACCTATGGTGGTCACATAAGAAGGCCAGCAAATTCTGGATGAGGATCCATGAAACAACACAGAAGATCCCGGGGCTGAAAATGGAGATGAAGCCTGAATACTACCTTCTGGGTATAACGGATGTTGATATAGACAAGAAGGAGGATACTTTATTCTTCCACATGGCTACCACTGCCAGATTAATATACACCAAAAACTGGAAGTTGAAAGAAATCCCAACATTGGAAGACTGGACACTCAAAATGTTGGATATCATGAATATGGACAGTCTAACACAATCTCTAAGAAATAGACAGAGACCTATATCAGGAAAGATAGATTGGACCCTAATCAAAAATTTATTCAAAGTCTAAGACGTTTATAAAGTAGAAATAGGTGGAGAGGCCCCACCACATCCCTCAATAAAATATTCTATGTATAAAAAAAAGAAATGTTGCTGATATGTACCTTCAAACTCATTTCCAAGAAAATGACTTGAAGGCACATAGGCAAAGAGGCAAGAAAAGTGACCAAGGGGATTTAAACAAAGCAAGCAGAAGACATTTTTTCAATGTCTCATTCTATGCAATGCTAGTAATGTAAAGACTGAAGGAAAATTTCATGGGGGGAGGCGGCATCCTACCTGGTGGGTAGCTACAATCCAGGTTTGTCCTCATGCAAGAAATATTTCAAGTTGCAGGTGTGTGTGTGTGTGTGTTAACAATTACTTAATTTTAGTTGTCCACTTCCCTGAGGTGAGACCTAAACCTGGAACTTCGCATCAGGTTCAGCCAACTTCATATAAGAAAGGAAGACTGCTGTCTTCCCTGTTTGGTACTGAATTTCAGTTTAGAAATGCCATGATACTTGAGGGTTAATTTTCTACTTCTACTTCTGAGCATAGTGGTTTGAACTACAACGCTGGTGACCTCGCTTAGCCATGGAAATACATGGGACATCCCTGGGCAATTTAAACATTTTCCAGCCCCTTCTACACAGGCCTTAAATTCTGGAAGAAAGTGGGACAAAAGGTGCCTAGATGATGCACACAGAAAATGTGTGCTAGATCACAAGATGGCATGAGAAACGCAAGATAAAAGGGTTCACTTAAATTCCATGTTTGGTCAAAAAATGCACACTACGGAGCACTGTATAACCCTGCAATCAAAACACCATGAGAGTTCTTTGCAATACGTTGGTGTAGACTGCTCCAGCACATATCCTCATTTTATAATCCTGAAACAGCTGATGTGGGATGTAAACAGATGGAGCCAAATGGAAGCATTAGAGGAAAGCAATTCCCATTAAAACTCTCTCCATTCCTTTGTTCTCACTTTTTTCTTAAATTAAACAGAGCTTGAATGTACACAGTGGGCACCAGGATGGCAGGCAAGTGACCCCAAAAGGAATCAGGGTTCAAGAGAGCAAACTTAGGAGCACCAGGGGGGTGAGGAGAGACGATGACAGAAAATCTGCTTGTGTGGACTTTGTTATATCCGAATCAGTGTTTACAAGGTGCAGCACATCTCAGCAAATGTCCCATACCTTTTGCAGTTCCCTTCAATCCCCATTACCCAAACCTTTCTGGATGCCATGGGACCATTTGCTGGGACATGTGGCTCTGTGTGAGGACTCTTCTTAAGGTACCAGGGTTTTTAATCCCACGGATTAAGTGCCTGTCTGGAAGGGCCCTCTGCCTCAGAAAACCCTGATAGCTTCACAGTAGGGTCATTATATTGGGAATGACTTGAAGGCACATAACAAAAACAGCAACAATAAACTTTTGAAATATTGCTGCTGAAGTTAAAGTGATCTCCCAGCAATCTGTACAAAGGTGTTGTTCCATCTAAAAGGGACAGGGGGCCATCTAGTGGTTCTTGATTGAGTAATAAAGCAATTTGTATACTGAAAAGGCCTTTTCAGCATGTGTATCTCTCTCACCCTGCGATTTATGTTGAATTAGTATTTCCCTTCCAGATTTTCTTGCCAGAAGATTAGTACCAAACCTCTGGAGGGAGTTCCTTCTGCATCCTGGAAAATGTGCTAGAATATTCCCGATGTTTCTCTGCCACTTCCTCAGACTAATTTTGCTCTCCAGATTCAATGCTGATTTTTTTTCCGGGTCAGGAGCGACTTGAGAAATTGCACATCACTTATGCTGATAATATGCACCCTTCTTCATGCATGCATTGTAAATTCATTTATGTATGTCTCTCCTATAGCCCCCTCTTGAACACTTTCTATCCAATGCAGAGATTGGTTTTAGAAAATGGGAAACCTCCCATCTTGCAGCCACAGATTTACCCTTGTTTGTTGAGGTCAATAGAGTCTCAACCAATTCCACATAGTTTGTGGCAGCCACAAAAATGAAGTTTCTGGAGTATAGCTACTATTTTCAAAGTAAATACTGCACAATTAAACAGGAAATAACACTTCAAAAGCAAGAAAAGAACATTTTTCAAATTTTGTTACATAGCGTTATTTTGTGGGAGAGAGCCAGCATGGCGTAGTGCAGGGGTTCTCAAACTACGGTCCAAGGGCCGGATACGGCCCTCCAAGGTCATTTACCCGACCCTTGCTAAGGTCCTGCCTAAGTCTGAAATGACTTGAAAGCACACAACAACAACAACAACAACAACAACAACAACAATCCTATCTCACCAGCCAAAAGCAGGCCTACACTTTCCACTGAAATACTAATATGCTTATATTTGTTAAAATTGTTCTTCATTTCAATTATTGTATTGTTTAAAGTGTTTTTGCACTACAAATAAGATATGTGCAGTGTGCATAGGAATTCATTCATTTTTTCCCCAAATTATAATCCAGCCCTCCAACAATTTGAGGGACTGTGACCTGGCCCTCTGTTTAAAAAGTTTGAGGACTCCTGGTATAGTGGTTTGAGCACTGGGACACCACGATTCAAATCCCTACTCTGTCATGAAACCCACTGTGTGCCTTGGGCCAATCACACACTCACAACCTCAGAGGAAGGCAAAGGCAAAGCTCTTTTGAAAAAATTATGCCAGGAGTCACCGTTGGGTCAGAAATGACTTAAAGGCACATGGATTGTGGCGCAGCTGACTGGGAGTCAGTTGCAGTAAGATCACTACTGCCCAAAAGGTCATGAGTTCGAAGCCAGCCCGGATCAGAGTGAGCTTCTGACCATTGCTAGCTTGCTGTTGATCTTTGCAGACCGAAAGACAGTTGTATCTGTCAATAAGGAAATTTAGGTACCGCTTATACGGGTACTAATTTATGATGCCATAAAATCTCCAGCAAGCATGCAAAATAATGAGGAAGTACTTCATCAGTGTCACAAATGGATGGTGAAGCAACAGTTCCTCTGGTGGCCAGACTACCCTCACGAAGCAGGAATGTTAAATAGCCTCTGTCTGTCTGTCTATATATGTTGTGTGTCTATGGCACTGAATGTTTGCCATGTATGTGTACATTGTAATCCACCCTGAGTCCCCTGCAGGGTGAGAAGGGCAGAATATAAGTACATAATAAATAACAAATTATATCTGTACACTGCTCTCGTACCTACATTCCTGAAGGACAGCTTAAAAATGTCAGAATAAACACATTAAGGAAAAGGTTTTGTTAGAGTATTCAAGAGGACACATTCTTACAAGCTTGCACAGTTTTATGGCAGTTTGATTGTGGACACCTATAAAGGTGTTCCAAACAGTGGCTCTTGCAGATAGTCTGAGAGGACAAAAGTGAACACTGAGGTTCAGCTGTATTGCCTGATACATCCAGGAAGTCTCCCGTGTGGCTTCTGTTCCCTTTGTGTTTACTGGAAAGAAAGGCAACTGAGGCCACAAAGGAGGCACCCTGGGCCTGTGGTCTGCTTGGTGCCTCTCAGCAGGCAAGTGGGGCTCCTTCACTTTCAAGGAGAAAGAGAGGGAAGGTTTTTGTTAGGGTGCTGCACTCCCTTGGTACAGTGTGTGACTCCAGGCGCAGTAATAGGTCCCAGTGTCGCTGGTAGTGAGGCTGTCAATTTCCAGGTTGAAGCTGCCATCAGTGGGCCGTATCCCTTTGATGTGGGTCAGTCCAGCATCTGTTGCAGATCCCTTGCTTATTGAATAGGAAAGGAGTTCGATTGCTCCTCCTGGGATTAGCCTGTACCAGTAGAGGTTGGGGTTGGAATATCCTTCCAGAGAACAATCCAGAGAAGTGGTGCTGCCAATGTCCTGCACCACTGACTGTGGGCTCTGGTGGATAGCTGGAGACTGACCATTGCCTGTAACTCATAAAAAAAAAATCAGAGACTACATGTTAGCTCCCTTTGGGATAGATTCCATCACAATAGTTTTACAAGATTTGAGAAAACCAGTGAAAACCTTTCTATATATTTTTTTAGAAACCTTGTGGCTTCCCTTGCTCAAAATGTATCCAGTATTTTACATGGGGAGTCCAAATTTGTTCCAAATGACACTTTAAGTGAAAATTTGGTGCCATCCTGGGGTAGAGCTGGATCCATGAAGAAGGAAAAGGAAAATACAACACTCCTGCCCCTCATCAGTGCTGAAGAAACAAATTAACATTTTCACATAGTAATATATAATGTTAATGATTGATCACTTACAGATCTTTCATTTTGGCTTTAACAATTAATTGCTTGCCATTCTGCATTAGAATAAAGATAAAGGTAAAGATTTTTCCCTGACATTAAGTCCAGTTGTGTCAGACTCTGGGTGTTGATGCTCATCTCCATTTCTAAGCCGAAGAGCTGGTGTTGTCTGTAGACACCTCCAAGGTCATGTGGCCGGTATGACTGCATGGAGCATCATTACCTTCCAGCCGGAGTGGTACCTATTGATCTACTCACATTTGCATGTTTTAGAACTGCTAGGTTGACAGAAGCTTGGGCTGACAGCCGGAGCTCATGCCACTGCTTGGATTCGAACCTGCAATTTTTCGATCAACAAGTTCAGTAGCTCAGCAGTTTCACCCATTGCGCCACCGGGGGCTCCTCTGAATTAGAATATCCTACTTTATTTCCCTCACATAATTAAAGAGCTTTCCAAGCAGTAATGCTTATTGAAGAATGCATAACAAATCCTGTGCTTGGAGAGTGCAACTGACCTCTAGAAGCAGCAACTGAAGTTTTGCAATTGACTTTAGTGGGGGAAGGATTGTCTCCTTAATTATAATTCACTATAACTAAATTATAATTTGCTACAACTAAGTCTCTCTTATATGTGGTGGCTATTTTTAAAATCAGCTTTGATCATAGACTTTTTGCTGATCATCAAAGAAGAAAGAAAAGTACACCCACAGAGCCTAAAAGCCAATTTGGAATATCTCCCACAATGTCCAAGTATAATCTGATATATTGACAAGTGTTCTAGCCAAGGGGATTATCCCCTTTTTCCGGACTAGAAATAGACAACAGATGCTATTGATAATGATAATCAGAGCAGCCAAGATACCTGAATGACTTCCCAAATGTGAGAGCTGTTCAGCAGTGGAACTCTCTGCCATGGAGTGTGGTGGAGGCTCCTTTTTTGGAGACTTTTAAACAGAGGCTGAATGGCCATCTGTCGAGGGTGCTTTGAAAGCAATTTTCCTGCTTCTTGGCAGAGGGTTGGATTGGATGGCCCACAAGGTCTCTTCTAACTCTGTGATTCCATGATTCTATTATCGCTGTTCAGGGACAGCATACCTTCGATTACTAGATACTGGGAAAGCAGCTCTTGCCTCCTTGCCCTCTTTGGGACTGTCTTGCAGGTACCTAGGGACAGGACACTAGACTAGATAGACCAATAGTGCACAAACTGTGGCCCTCCAGGTGTTTGGGACTCCAATTCCCAGAAGCACCAGACAGCGTCCAGTGATCCAAAATTCTAGGAGATAAAGTCCAAGGCTGGATCTATATAATCCAGTTTCTGAATCCAGATTATTTGCTTTGAACTGGATTATGTGAGTCTGCACTGCCATAAAATATATAATATTTATATTACATGTAATATTACTAATCATATTGCAGTATGGTGGTATAGTACAATATAGTAATATATTACTAATATTGTGCAATGCTAATAATATAATATATTGTATGTACATATAACTTCTAAGCCACTCTGAGTCCCATTCGGGATGAGAAGGGTAGGATATAAATGTTGTAAATAAATAAATAAATACAATCCAGCTCAAAGCAGATAATCTGGATTCAGAAACTGGATTATATGTCAATGTAGATGGGGCCCAAAACGTCTGGTGGGCCATGTTGTGCACCTGTGAGGTAGACCATAACTCTAATTTCACCCAAGGCACTCTGTATGTCAAAGAGGTTTCGCAGGCTATGTTGATTCTTTTAAACCCTGTTTGACAGGAGACAAGGAGCAAGGCAAAGGAGTTAGCAGGTACATCACATTCCATGCTGACATTCTTAGAAAGAACCATCTGTCTCCACTTTGTCTTGAATTTTCAGTCTGACTGCACCCACACAACACTGATATAAGAAAGCCAGGTGAACTCTTTCTCACTGAGCGCCTTTGTTTACCAGTCTGTTCATATGTGGTGGTGGTGGTTTGCTGAGCTTTTTCTCTAGTGAGCTGGTTGTCACTTACCTTAGGAGAAGCAGGTACTTGTTCATCTTCTGTCCCTGCCACCAAAAAAAAAAACCCTTTCCCAAATCTACAACCCATGTGGCAAGGAGTAATGTCTGAATGCCTCTACCCTGGTCTTGGTCCTAAATTATTGTAGAACTTGTTTAGTGGTAGTTGATATGGGGGTAAGGTAAAGGTTTTCCCCTGACATTAAGTCCAGTCGTGTCCGGCTCTGGGGTGTGGTGCTCATCTCCATTTCTAAGCCGAAGAGCTGGCGTTGTCTGTAGATACCTCCAAGGTCATATGGCCAGCATGACTGCAATGAGTGCCTTTACTTTCCCGCCAGAGCAGTACTTATTTATCTACTCACATTTGCATGTTTTTGACCTGCTAGGTTGGCAGAAGCTGGGGCTGACAGCGGGAGCTCACGCCACTCCCCGGATTAGAACCTGCAACCTTTCAGTCAACAAGCACAGCAGTTCAGCACTTTAACCCACTGCACCACTGGGGTACTGACACAAAATCTTCACACTTATTTTAAGGGACAAATATAACAGAATTTTATATATTATCACCTGTCATTTTGGGTACCACTCATGGGCAACTATTTATTTGAAACATTTATATTCCACACTTCTCACCTCACAGGGGACTCAGGGAGGAGCACAACATATATACGGCAAACATTCAATGCCAGGACATAAAACCATAAATATATATAAACATTAAAATCACTTATATCTACATTAAAAGTTGCTTAAAAACCATCTCAGGACACCATTTTGCTTCATTGCACTGCCCCAAAGGCTTGGTCCCACAGGCAGGTCTTCACTATCCTTCTGAAGGACAGGAAGGAGGAGGCTGATCCAATATTGCCAGGAAGGCTAGCATCCAAGTAATGTGCACACATTATTTCAGTTATTCTACAGCCATCTTATAAAGTAGGTCCATAACCTGGTGAGCCTCATAATAAAGGAGATAGGATTGCCATGACTTTAATAAAATGCAGAAGACAAAATATGAACACCTGTAGCTTGAATGACAAGCTACTCTATATTATTAACCACATATTGCAATAACTGGGAGAGTACATTGCTTTGTTTTACTATCAAATACAGTTAAAACACTAATTTCTGGCTTGGTTTCTATATTATACACACTCCACTAGATGCCCCCAAAACACTCACAATTGCATAGTAAATCAACCTTTATCTTACTCTGAGAAAAAGGTGATATATAAATTAAATAAATAGTTAAAAACTATAGTTCAAACACATACAATAGGAATAAAATGTGTGTAGATAGAAAAAAGTTGATAATTTACACACCTGAGATACCTACTGCAAACCAAACCAAAGCTGTAATGCACCACATGCTTCCCAAGAAATCTTCTCTTTGAGTTATTGCAGCTGAGTTTAAAATCCTCCCTCCTTGCCAGTGGCACCTGTCATTTCCTCTTCACTGCATTCATTTTCCTCTCTTACAGTGACCCCTGGTGAATGTGCCTGAGGTTGCAGAAAAATACTCAATTCTCATGCGCATTTTATGACTTTTTTAATTTCTAAGGAGCTATATATGTTAAGCTCTTATGACTTGAAGCCTACTACATTTACCGTAACATGAGCTTTCTGGGACTACAGTCCTCTTCATCAGATGTTGAACTGTTACCAAGAGCTATATATATACACAGTGCACATGAGTGTGCTAGGATTGTAGACTATGAAGCCGGTGCAAAATGTAAACACAGAAACTACTGGCAGTGACCATGGCTTTATTGACAGTGACATCTCCAGCTCATCCCCTGTTTGGGTATCAGCCAGCACGTCAACGACTTAAATCAAGAAATAGTTTTCTAAGATCTACAGAGACACTTGCTGGAACACCCCAGCAAGCGAGAGTCCAAAAGTGGCAGGCTCAAACCCAGAACCTCAATCAATGGCTGATACCAAATGAGAGACTCCCCCTGGGCACACAGAAAACTGGGACTTGGAAGGCGCTGAACAGACTGCGCTCTGGCACCACGAGATGCAGAGCCAACCTTCAGAAATGGGGCTACAAAGTGGAATCCACGACATGCTGAGTGTGGAGAAGAGCAAACTACTGACCACCTGCTGCAATGCAACCTGAGCCCTGCTACATGCACAATGGAGGACCTTCTTGCGGCAACACCAGAAGCACTCCAAGTGGCCAGATACTGGTCAAAGGACATTTAATCAACTACCAAGCTTGCAAACTCTGTGTTTTTGTATCTTTGTTTGTTTGTTCTGTTGAAAATGTAATACAACTGTTTGGTTGCCTGACACGATAAATAACAAATAAAAACTGTTAAAGCATATAATCATTGGTGTCATCTTGTTAAAAACATTATCCAGTAACATCGTCTGGCCATGTTCATTGTTCATAGTTCCATGTTATCTATTCCGCTGCTTTCTTAAAAGCTTGCTTAAAGAGCCAGGTCTTTACTTTTTTTTTTGGAAACTCAGGAGGGAGGGGGCCCATCTAATATCCCTGGGGATGGAGTTCCATAGCTGGGGGCCTCCACTGAGAAAGCCCTGTTCTTCGTTTCTGCCAATCACACTTGCGAGGCAGGCGGGACCAAGAGCAGGGCCTCCCCAGACGATCATAAGCTCCTAGATGGTTCCTAGGAGGAGTTACGTTCGGACAGGTAAGATGGGCCAGAATAGTTTAGGGTTTTATAGGCTAAAGTCAGCACTTTGAATTGTGCTTGGTAGCAAATTTGTCATGTTTTGGTTCAAGGACTGCTGCTTGGAGGTCCAAAAAAAATGTGTCCAGGAAGACTGATGTGTTCTGCAACTGACTTTGGGGCAATGCATTTCTAATATCCAATTTGTGGCTATTTATCCCCTTCATAGCCTTGTTTTCCAATACAGAGGGGGCTGGGTGGTGAGGGCTTTGCTGACAAGTATGGCATATATTACATTAGATGGTGAACAGCTGAAAATAATTGTGATGTGAAGGGTAACATTATTAGACAATGCTGCCTTGATAAACCTGACATCTCGGTTTGTGGCAAGGTCTTGTCTTTGCCTTCCTATCCCAGTTGTGCCTACTATTGTAGGTGAGTAGCTTTTTAAAACTAGGAAGGAGGGGTTACCTGGTAGCAAGTAGAGACTTCCTTCCTGGATTCTTTGAGGGGGTAGTAATGTTCCTAATGATTGGTTTTAGTATTATTGACAATACCAATGAGCTACTTAATTTAATTTTTACTCAGCTCAGGGTGATGGAAATAGAGCTGCGATATTTTTGCTGTAAGGGAAAGGTCCAAATTAAATACAGTATTGACTCAAATGTCCCCAAATTGCTCCTGATACCATAAGAGTGAGTGATACATTCAAAATTCTTCAGGGCACTGCAATGCAATAATGTCACATCAATATGAATTAAAGGATAACATGATGGGCTGTTTTAATATGTCAAACAGAACTTGTTTATTGAGCAATTAATCCCAATTTCTTGAGGACATGGCAAGGGATGCCACTGACACATGTCATATGAGGTGACATGGAATTATTATTTACAGCATGCTAAGCACTGTCAAATGTGAGAAGCCATGGTGACATCTGGTAAGTTTCTGCATGAAGGAAAAGACACATAAGGATGGACAGGGGTACATCTCAGGTTCTCAGGGTGTATCTAGTCTACATTGTAGATTTAATGCAGTTTGGTGCCACTTTGACAGCTATGGATCAATTCTACTGAATCATGGGAGTTGTAGTTTGGGAATGTATCAGAATTCTTTGGCAGAGGAGGCTTATAAAAACTATTGCTCTCATGATTCCATAGTATTAAGCCATGGCAAGATGCATTAAGTCTACTGTACGGATGCATCCACAGACTCTTTCAGCATCTACAGAGCTATATTGTTTGACAAGAATGGAAAGTGTCCAGTCCACGGACAGAAAGAACCTGGCACTATATGTTTTGGTGAAAAGGCCATATTTTTTAAGTTGAAGAAAAACATTCATAGGATTCCAGTCTGCTGAGTCTGGCTGAAAAATGTATTTTCAAGGTGCTCAACACCTCAGAACAGATACATCCCACCAAGTGGCCTGAAAGATGACTAGAAGCGATGTGTTGCCACTTCCTGTGGACATAAATGTGGTCACAAAGACACACTGTGACCTCCCTAGGATTCTGGAGAAGCCCAAAATAGGACACGGTGGTCCTCTGGACTCCAGTGCCGACCCATACTGTCTTATACACATGCTCCAAGTTAGGATGCTACCTGCTGGACCCTCTGCTGCAAATGTCGCTTTATCAAGCAAGTGCACAGATGTTAGCCAGTGGTTGAATTTCTCTCCCCACATGAAAAGCTTTGGCTCATGATTTCTGCACACTGAGCTGTCATTAAAAGCACAAAAAGAAACCAGGCAATTTTTTTCCTGGCCAACTGACAGCTCCAGAGTTAATTGTCTAATTATCCACTTGGGACAGTCCTGATCTTGGGGTAATTGCCTCTGATAAATTCTTTTCTTTTTTTTGAAGAGGTTGTTTTATTTAAAACTATGCCCTAAAGCAGAGTCAGGAATCATGCAGCACTCGTGATGTTGCCAGACTCTAACTCGTAACAGTCATCACTATTGCTGATGCTGATGAAGGCTGCATAGAAACAACAGTGCAACAGGGGCAGTTTCGACATTTTCTGCTACCCCACTCTGTCAGCTGTGCTTAAAATGTCCCTGTTTCTCTTTCCTCCTCCTGCTTTCCCCCTCAGCTTACTTCAGTTGCTGAGTTCAAAGTTCAAAAGTAGCTTGCACTGTTAACTCAATGAGATCCCAGGAGAGAAGAGGGGTGTGCATCTGCTCTTCCCAATGGGCTCTGGCAAAAGCAAACTGCTGTAGCATCTTCCCAGTTTTTCCTTCTGATTCAAATCTGGCATATTGACTACACTTTAATGTTGTTTGGCAACATAGGTCCCAGTTTTCATCTGTGAAACGCTGCAGGCTATGGCTCAATAACATCTGGAGTACTGCATGTATCCTGACCTAAAACCAATTGAGAGTGCAGACTACAGAAGAGGTTTTGTATCAATGAAAACATGGTGAGTTAACATTTTATTCATTTGCTTTACTCTTGCTGTAATGCTTCAAGTCAATACCAACTGTGTTTTTCTTACTCCGAATTGTGATTGTGTTGGATTATTTCACTAGTGGGGTTTTTAATATAGTGTGTTCTACTCTTCTATCTTTATGTTAAGACTGTCGAACAGTTTTTAAAAAAAAGAAAATAGTGTTAGAATAATATAAGAAGCAGATAGATGGTGCAATGTTTGATTCAAGATAACAACGTTATTTTGGTAACACTTAGGACAGATGCAGGGTTCCCCCCCCCCCGGGTTCTACACACTTCAAAAACAGTTTAAAGATGGAGCCCATTATATGACCGAAAACGACTTCTGCGGGACTCCATCTTTAAACTGTTTTTGAAGTGTGTAGAAACAGAGGTTTTGAAGTTGGGGAGCAATCATCTACAGCAGGCATCCTCAAACTGTGGCCCTCCAGCTGTTTGGGCTTCCAACTCCTAACGAGCTTGTTCAATTGTCAGGAATTCTGGGAGTTGAAGGCCCAAACAGCTGGAGGGCCACAGTTTGAGGATGCCTAATCTACAGAGCTCCTGATTTGTGCAGAATAGACTAAGGACATTTATTTTAACTTGGGATGGGAACTGTCAGAGTCCCTGGTTAGACCTTTGTAATGACTGTGGATGGTCTCAGAATGTGCCTCGATGCTCCTTTTTGGGGGGGTCATTAATCCTCTTGCACTTACAACCTCATCAAATAGAGCTTTTTTTCTTGGCAGCATACACCAGTTCAGTGATAGTTTATCCACAGAGCCTGTTGGCTCCCATCCCATGATGTAATACTACTTCCGATGGGGCTCCATGGCTAAACTACAGCAAACCTGGCATATGCCGTGGTGGCAACATGGGAAGCTTCCCATGTTGCACCAACAACAATAGGGAGAACCTGGGTGGCTGATGCTTCCCCTCGTGGGATGGGGTTATTAGTGAGTCAGGCAATGTGGGGCAAAGGGTTTCCCACATCCCTCTTCAGGAACCGGCAGAGTTGCCAACAATCTGTGATGATTCCAGTGGTCTGTGTAATAAAGTTGTATATTACTAGTTTGCTGTAACGAACTGGTGATATATTTTTAGGCCTAGATTTTGGACTTCTGTGATTCTGAAGTTTTTTTAAATTAAAAGAAGAAGAAAGATATGGGCGGGGACATAGAGGATTACTGTAGAAACAGACAAAAGTAAGTTGCGTGTAATGAGGATGAATGACTTATCCATTTTTCTTATAAACAGAATAGAACAAAATGCTAAGATAATAAGATTATTCCCCCTGCCATAGGATGAAGTCCTTA